GATGGATGGATGGCTGGATGGATGGATGGATGGATTGATGGATGGATGGATGGATGGATGGATGGATGGATGGATGGATGGATGGATGGATGGATGGCACAGGACCAAATTTCATATTCTGAGGGAGATCAATGGAAACTTACTATTTAAAAGTAACTGTTGGAGAGTGTTTATTTGATTGGAACAGGATAGAGCCAGCCTGAGACTTTTTATTTGCCTGAGGCCAATGACAAGCCCACTGCTCATTTCACATGCAGAAGCCAACTGATCTGGCAGTTGAGTTGTGCATCAATCAGGGCAAGAATGAAGATGATTTGCTGACCCACTCCTGCATCTGTCACCAGAGGCCATTGCTTCATTTCATCTGGTAGTAGAGCAGCCCGGAACAGAATTGTGTGTTTTGTAGAAATGCCAGTTACTGCCAACCACAAACTAATGTGGAGAAAAAGTCAAATTCCTGCCTTATGCCTATATTCACTCTCTCAATCTCTCTCTCTCACACACACACACACACACCTACAAGGCAAGCTGCAGCAGCTTGTGAAGGCGTGGAGACTTTATCAAAATAGTGAAAGTTACTGTCACCTAAATCACTATCGTGATTTTGCTTTTAAAATAAGCATTTGGGAAATAAGTCTCTTTTCTAATATCTAAATTGGCCCAAAGATTGGAAATGTTTGTGGGGTTTTTTGGATGAAAGTGTATGGAGTTCTACAACCAGTAGCCGTGGCAGATACAGGATTTTGGAAGCTGTAGCCCAAAACAAATGTTTTTCCATCTTTAGGTTAGTTCCAAATATATCTCCTAAGGTTAGGGCTCCTGAGCTTGGATTTTACCTGCTTCGTTGTTTATTCCATAAATTTGGTACATGCTCGGCATCCACTTTCAAAATAAAAGAGGAGAAATGAATCCCTTTGGGACAAGAGTGGCGGTATGAGGTAAAAATACTGTGCTTTGAAACAAATTGAAAGCAAATAATAGCGGAAAACCAGTAATGTAAAGTGATGCTGCTTAAGTCTGATGACATTGTCAGCTATGGCTGTACTTTGATAATTAAAAGTTTCTTCTCCCTCCTCTGCACTCCCTGGCTCTGTTGGGATCTCAATCTCTCTCTCTCTCTCAATCTCTCTCTCTCTCTCAGTCTGTTCATTATTAATAATCACGTGCGGTCAAGGAAATTCTGATCTACGGCTGTTGCAGAGTTTTTGAATTTTCAGTTAAATTCCTCTAGATGCCCACATAGGTGCAGAGATTCACAAAGCAGAATAGCTTCAAGTTCATCAGATTAGTCCACCTCTTTTTCGCATTAACTGACACTCACCGTCTCAATAATTCAGTCTTCAGTAGAAAAAGAATGAAGATGTTTCATTACTTACAGTGAACAGATAACAGCAAGCTAACAACATGACTGACTGCTTACAGCAACAGGCCTCAACATATTTTAGATGGGAAAAACACAGCAGAGAAACAAGACTCCTTTGAAATCAGAGGCAGGGAAGGACGGTTAGTGCTGGATAGATTGACAGTCACCCCAGCTCAGAAATGTTCCTGCTGACAAAGCCTGCAAAAGGCAACATGTGAGGTTGTAAGAACTCAAAAAAAATTGTGACCCTTTTCAGCATTTCCCAGGTAGAGAGTACTTAGAAGTGGT